CACCAACAGTTCAGGTCAGCTACGGCCATGTCTAGTCAAGCCTTAAAAGCCCCTAGGGACAGCAGTTCCACCACCTGCTGGGGCAGCCTGGGAGGTTGCCTACCCGAAACAAATCCATGCTGCTCTGCCGTCTAGTGAGGAAGCTTTGCCTAATGTCCAGTTGGGACTTCCCGTGGCCATTGTTGTCTTGCTTGCTACTGCAGAAAAGACTTTGGCTGTATCCTCTCTGTCTCTTTCCTTCATGATATTGTAGGCTGCTCCTAGGTGCCTCCTTAGCTACCTCCTTGCCAGAATAAACAAGCCCAGCTCCCTCTGCCTCAGCTCACAGGTGCGCCTGGCTGTCTCAGGAGCCTTGTGCTGGATCCCCCTCCTTTCCTCAATAGCTCTCTTGAAATGGGGGGGACAGCAAACTGAGCACAGTGTTGCAGGTGGGGCCCCGCTTGCGCTGAGTAAATGGGATATAACAACTTCCCTTGATCTGCTGACCACAACTCTCCTAAGGTAGCCTAGTTGGAGGTTTATTTTATTTGTGGTGACAGCTCACTGTTGGTTTATCTGCAGCCTGGCCCCCACCATAACCCCCAAGTCCTTTTCAGCAGGGCTGCTGCACAGCCGGTGACTTCCCAGCCTGTACAGATCATGGTTTTTTTCTGCCCAGGTACAGAGCTTTGCACTTCTTACTGAACTTCAGGAATTCTGCTGCCCTTTTCTTAGCGTCCGTCTCCTCTCATCCAGAGCTGCATCGCATCAGCCAACTGTCTCAGCACCCTTAGATGAATCCCACCCAGCCCCATGAATCTAATTACACCCAGCTTCTCTAAGCGTCCCCTAACCTGTTGCTTTCGCACTGATGGTTGCCCCTCTCCCCCCTACACTGATACATGAGAAGGGCTGGAAACCAGCTTTGGCTGTGAAGACTGGGACAAAAAAAGCATTGGGTACTTCAGCCTTTTTAGTACTATCCGTCACTAGGTTTCCTTCCTCACCCAAAAAAAGAGCCACATTTTCCCTGCACTTCCTCTTTTGTCCACTTCTTCCTCTTAGCCAGGCAGTCTGTGATCACAGTATCCCCAGTGTTACTTCTCCCGCTGATCTTGACTGAGAGACTCTCAACAGGAACATCTCCTATTTCTAGCTGGAACTCTGCACTGTCACAGAGCTCTTTAGCACAAGGTGTGACTCTTCATCCCTGCTCATCCTTCTCAATAACCTGCACCCACCATGCAATACATACATGCTATTGCACCAAATCTCTGTGACCTCACTTTCATCATAGCCCCATGACTATGCCTGACTTTGAAAGTCTTGCTTTTCACCCAAGCTCTGCATATAGCATCATCTGCCACATACTTTAAAATCTTCCTCTTAAGTGTTATTGTCTCTTTTACAGCAGTGGATAACGCATTACTAGATTTCTGCTTTTCGATCCAAGTCTTTTTAACTACCTCATTTTCATTTACAAAGAAATTTAGGCTTCTTTAAAGACTCTTGTTTTTCAATTTCCTGCTTTTCTTCTTTGTCCATCCATTTCCCAGCCACAGGTGTAAAGGGCCATCTCACAAACAAACAGTGCCTGTCCTCAGGGCAACAGAATCAGGAAGGCAATATTTCTAGAGATTGCTCTGCAGAGCTGTGCACAGGGGAGGGGACAGGAAAAATGTATTTTGCTTAAAGCAGTCAAATGGCTAGCTGTAAGCCCAAACATTATTCACGGCTATGCCTGTTCGCATCACCTAGGGATAATCTCTGTTTCACCACCTTCCTCATAGATTGCTGATCATGCTGTAAGTGCAAAAATAAAAAAGGAGTAATCACTTCCCATCACATTTCAATAAATTTCACATTTACTATATCTGTATGTGCATATGAGCAGGCAAATAAGTTAGAGTGGTAAGCTAGGGCGTGAAGTAGTATCACATCACCAACTTTGCAGTAACTGCCCTAGTGTGTGTGACCAAATGTACAACAGCTTTAGGATGATCCATTCTGTAAATGTTGGCTATAAAGGAGGTAGCAGGAAAGAGCCTATGTCTGGTCAAAGAAACCTCACCTCGCATGAAGTCTTTTGACTTCGGCTCTGAGGGCAAGCACTCTTTCATACTCCCTTTGCACCTGACATTTCTAGCATACTTACTAGACTGTAAGCTATGTAACCTAAACATAGCCTTCCTTTGAGGCAATTAGCTTCATTGTTGGAACCCAAAACCCCATATGTGCATGAATTATATCTTAACTTTATCCAGATGATTGGGATAGTAGAAGTAGTATTCACGTCTTTCAAAACAATTTTATTACTCACAGTCCTTACACTAAAGAACATACTCTATAATGCAACTGAAACATTCCATGAAAATTGCCATTGTGTCCACTATCCTTTTTTGAGTAGTAACAATTAGAAATGAGCTTCAGAGACTAATTTATCTTACATCACAAAATATGTAAGACATTTCCTAAAGTCATTCAAAAGACATTACCATTTGGTCAAAAAAGGGTTTTCAGTTTAGTGATGAGAAATTTATTTTGCCTTTTTATTCTGTTCAGTTTCTCTACTGTTTTAAAATTCTCTTTTAGTTCTACTAGATTAGTGTCGAGGAAGTGAGTGACAGAAGTGCACTCTTGTTTATGCAGTCTATGATTCAATTACAGCCCTTCTTCTTTACTCAGGACCATCTCAGACATGTATTTCCCAAAGATTTATAAAGAAAGTTGAAATAGGTGTGACAATCTTAACAAGAAAGGAAAAAAGAACTTGAAAAAGGCCCTGATGCCTCATAGATCCCAGAAACATTAACCAAGGCTTAGCCTTAATCTTGCCCAGGAGACCCTCAACCTATCTGAAACGGCACGACTGAGCTGGACACAAAATAACTGGTCCTTCCGGTGAAATCACTCTTGCAATACAGCTATGGAAGGGCACAGAGGAAATGGCTATTTATAACAGCAATGTCCCTGAGATATGTGCTGGTGAAACAGGAAAAGGGCAAAAAACTGACAAAACTGGATGCCCAGAAGGTACAAATGTGTGTAGGTGAGGACACGGCTTTATGAAGTCTATCTTGGTGACAGTTAACCATGCTTTTGTCTCAGTAGAATTTGATTGTAGAAATGAAAAAATAAAGTCTTTTCCCTACCTCAGCCTGCAACCTGAGAGTCAGAAAGAGTGAGAAAGAAATGCTGAAGATTGAGGAACTTGATGGTAAAATACCTGGGCACAGCGTTGTAAATCGGACTGAGCCAAGGCCCAGTTAATGGAGATGCCATCCATAGTTGTCTGATTTCTATCAACAGAAAAGATGCACTCTTCCTGGGGTTGGCAGTAGTTTTTAGGGGCTCTTGAGTGATTTGTCTGGAAAAGCCAAACCGCAGGACATGCACTGAACAAAGAAACATACTGATATTTCATTAAATAGTAAGCCAGAAGGAGTGATGACTAAAGAAAAACTGAATAAGAATCAGAATAAGAATCAGAACATCAATGACAAGCAGCTTAGTAGAAGCATCCTTGCCTTATGTATACAGCTACAGCTATTTAGAAAATAAAGACTGAGGAAGTACAATCCTAAGGATCTGTGACTTTAAAAAGGTGAGAGATGCATCATCCATACTATGCCACTTCACATTCAGCTGAATGTTTACTAAATTTAGATTTTGATGCCTTGTTCAGTGCAAATATGTCTATATTTTCTGTTACTTAACCAAGCAAATCCCTGTTTACTTGTCAAATCATCAAAAACCCGTTAAGAAAGCTACAGCATACGATTTTTTTTCCCTGTATACTCTGAAAAAGAAATTCACCAAATTTCTGTAGTAGCTTTTAAAGACATCAACCACATCAGCCTAACGGAATCTACATCCTGAAAGCTGCAGAAGTAGATTTGTATTTCCCTGGGGACAATCACTCTTTTACAGGCTGCTTTCCCTAAATAGATATATCTATCCCTTTACTCCCTATTCAGTTAAAATTCTCATTGACTTTACTGGGCGTCTGCAGGGAGATATGAATATTTCATAATGCTGTGAAGCCCAAAACAGAGCACTTTTCTCATTCAGGATTTCCTCAATCAAAACTGACGCTGTGAATTTGATAAAAATACTGAGTAACACAAGTATTTGAGCACTAGAAGGGAAGTCCTATTAATTTTCAGAGTAACAAAGCAAACATTCTTTGTTTTTCTTTAAAATATTAGTGAAGAATTGCATTTTCAACTGCAGGAAAACTCCACTGAGGTCAAAGGAAATGCCTGAACATATTCCATGTGAGAAAGATGTTGCTATTTTGCTTAAGAGAGCTTTTCCACAGCATGTACACCTCTGAGAAAGGCGTATCAATGCCCTCTCCAAGATGTGAGACATTAATTTTTTATACAGTTAATCAGATTCACGCATCTTCCCAACAAAACATTTCTAAGACTGCTTTTTTGAATTCTCCCTTTGGAGATTAAAAATTTCAATAAATCTGAGGTCGTTATGTCCTGTATAGACCAGCATAAAATAGACCTTTCCTCTTCATTAGTCCTTTACACCTTTGCAAAATCAGTGCTAACTAACAGTTAGAATAATAGGATTCTACAGCCTCTTTCTCTAGTGTAAAGGGCTGCACCTGGTGCTGAGAAAAATCTAGGCTTGGGAAGCCAGATGCTAACAATTCAGATGACCTCCAGGCTCTATTGATTTCAATGAGCTGGGCCAATTTAGTCTAGCTAGGAATCTAACACTATCTGATTAACTTTATCTTGTGATGAGCTGCTCAAAAAGGAAAGAAAGGAAAGAATAATAGATCTGCGTTACCTGTTCCATTTATACATCAGAGCTATAGAGAGACGCAGTGGTAAGTCATAAGGGCAGGGACTACTGCTTATAATCTAAACATTAAAGAACTGACTAATAAAAATCCTAATTAAAAAAAAAATGGCCAAGTTGCTTTAAAAAGTGACTCAGTGTCCATATTCTGAAAACTTTGGCAAGCAGGGGTTAGCTGTAGAGCTTAAAAAATAGGTTACCTGCTGTTTTTGCTGATCAGTAGTGCTGTGGGAAGGCATAGCACTTGAACCATGCAAATCACCAGGAGCTTTTCTTGCCTCGCTGCCAGCGGACACATGGGATGCAGCCAGCAGCTGGGCGCTGATGGACCCGTAGCCATTGGGAGCCTGCTGAGCACTGTTTGAGGCAGTAGCTACTTCATCTTCTTCACCGGAGTCCGTAATCAGGATAAACTCAGCCTTAAAAAGGTCATTCTCCTGCATTTCTCCTTTGTTTGAGTTACAGCTTGGGGGCTGGAAGACCTTTTGGGCACTGTCTGTGTGAACAGGGGGCACGCTGTCTTGCCTGGCTCTGCTCTTCAGAGCCAGCTCATCAGAGACTGTGTTCGACTGCAAAAGATATAAAGGATGAAATCTAAATTAGCTGCATTTCTCATTTGAAGTGAGAAGCAATTTCGGCTTGCTGTGACGGCTAACACCATGCTACCAACAGTGCAGAAAGTGAATGAAGAATTTGGGCTTCAGCCCTGAGCAGAAACTGGCTACCCTGCTGTGCACCAGTGTGGCCCCTCTTCCAGGCCCTCCATCCCTCCCGCCGCCCTGCCGGTCGACGCTGTAGGCGTGTTTCAGGGGTGTCCTCCGGCTGCCTTTCCAGCAACATAACACGGCAACAGGAGGCTTGAAGTAAAACGAAAGCCTGAATCGGATGTTGGGAATAGCACTGGACCTGAAAAAAGAGGGGCAAATAAGCCGAATGAGCTGTCAGACCCGACTAGGCCAGACACGATGGGAAGGAATCCTGACTATGGGATCCACGGATGCAGACAATACTTCTCAGAGGAGTCTGACAGAAAAATCTGGGACAAAACCTATACATATTAATGAAGAAACAAAGGCCTTGAAGCCAGGGCATTGTCTGAAAAGGGCAAACAAAGAATCTGAGGTCAGAGAGCTTTACTGCATATTTAAGAGTAAGCACTTCAGCACAGACCACAGTTGTTCCACATATTTTTGTACTTTCCATTACCAGTGTGAAACTTCCTAAGTACACTTTGAATAAGAGCAGGAATAGTGCAAGCTGGGGATATGATGTGTGCATCGTCAAATCATTCGATATTGAACCTGCCAGGGCAAATCATATTTCTCTTGAAGGAGGAATCAGGCAAAGGAATAGAAATATCGTGTACTGCCAAAGAAATCCTGTAGATGGGGCTCAAATTTGAAACTGGTTTGAAGAACTATCATAAGGACAAATTTCCATGGGAGCCCCAGGAGTTTCTGAAGCTTAGTTTTTAAAAATAAAAACAAACAAACAAACCCTCTGGAACATGTACGTAGATACCACAAGTGTGAGTTTATGGCTGTTATTTGTGTTATCTGTTGTTGTGGGTTTGTTTTTTTTGTTTTTGTTTTGAAGATTTTTTTTTTTGAAATATTGGCCAGGCTGTAGACATTTTGGAAAAGAGAGTAAAAGGTGCTGTGAAGGTCTCAGTACTGCATTTCTTGTTAGGAAAGTTTTCTCTGCCTTGCCCTATGTTAAAACACAAAAAGTGAGACAAATGTCAGGAATACCTGATTTTGCTTTACCTGGGACACTGCTTATAGCAAAACCGGTACTAAATAGTTGGAATGTAGCTAATGAATATTTTCATCCTGAGGATAATATTTCAGCACATATCTCTTTAAACATGTCCACTCTCTGCCCAGACTTAATTCCCCGTTTAGCAAGAATGGCCTCTGCAAATGCTGGAGCATGTTCAGGGCAGAGGGCTATAAGCTCTTGTGAAGCTCCATTCACGTGGGAGTGCAGTAACAACTGCAGCCCCGCTACATCCCAGGGAAAGGGCTGTTACACAAGAGCAAAAGAGCACTGTAAGCATTAAAATTAACTTGAGGGTTCTCATTTCCTTTTAAATAGCATGGACAGGAGCCAAATAGCACAGATATGGCTAAAGAAAGGAGAACCAGTAATGTGGTACTGTTGGTCTCAGATTTCACTACTACGGGAAGTCATTGGGGCAAACTTTCAGAAACAAAAGACAGGCTTTCTCTTTGACTGGTGTATTACTATGCAGTTATGAAAGGGATTGGCACCCTAGCTGGCAGCCACAGCGCTGGCATTTACTGAAAGCAGGATCCAGTGGTCAAGCCTTGGTGGATTCCCATGTGATAGTGCTCCCCTCGCACCGCCTTTGCTCCTGTGGAGATCAGGAAGGCATGCCCCCTCCTCTGCCAAGAACGAAGCATTGTGTGACTGATAGAGGACACTATTGAAATGGGGAAGGGTTTGCTTCCAATATAAGCTCTTCTGAAGGCAAAGCAGAGTGTTGAGCAGATATCAGCCTTTTCTTAGGCAATGTTTCTGCATCTCTGGTAGACATGAAATTTAAAATCAAGCACAAGTCAAGAATTAGTTCAAGGCAAAGCGCATCGGTTCAGGGATGCTCAGGACAGAGTTTTCCATATCTTTTCAGAAAGTGGCAAAATAAATTTAAGCAAACAAAATAAACATAATTAAAATTCTACCTTATATGTAACTTCCTGACTGCTCAGATCCTTTGGCTCCTCTGGGATTCTCACAAGGAACTTAGAGACATCTACAACCTCAAAATGAGTTGGAAGTCGTCCAATGGATGGAACAAATGTGAAGGTCAATGGCTTGGCTGCAGATTCATGGGAAGAAACCTGCAAAATGCATAATTAATTCAGCTTATTTGTCGAGATAAAGACTATTTTGAAATATGAAATAACATACAGCATTTATATGAATTAGTTCATCTAGATAACTTACAAGTCTAGTATTAACTATACTAGTCAACAGGTTTTGCATTAGGTCAATGTATATTATATATAAAATTTAAGATCTTTTTTACACAGACAAAGTGGCCATGCCCACCATACCTGATCATACCCATCAACTCCCAACATATTCTAGTGGCCGGGTGGGGAGGACAGGAGAAAATTTGCTCAATAATTTAGTGTTCTTTACATCTCCCTAGTCAGAAAGAGAGAACCAAATTCTGTTCATTTCAAGGCTGCTTTTATCTTTGTTTAACTCCACTTTAGTAAACCAACAAGGTAAACGTATGACTGTATCTGGAAGTAATGTAGCCCCATAGAGTATTTTGCTTAACAGCTTATAATAAATTGGAAAAGCATTTGATTGGCAAAAAGAAAGCAAAACTTGTTTACACTTTGTAATGCAAACACTACTAATTGTGAGCAATATCTGGGATGAATTCTGCTTCAATGAGAAGATTTCCCTCCATTTTCTTTAGGCTATTCAGCCACAAACACCAACTATGCATATGTCTGTCTTCTCATTTCTCCTTCCTCACCTTACATTCCCCTTAGGACGCTGAATACAGCGAGGAGAACAGAGACCAAGAGAAGGTGACTTCACCTCAGCATTCAGGCCAACAACATTCACAGTGCTCTCCAGTCACTTCTATCCCCTTCACACAAGATACCAGACTGGAAAAATAAGTCAATGGAAAATGGCTTAGTTGTTTCACCAGTTATGAGAGAGAGCAACTGTGAAGGGCTTGACAAAGTAGAAGCTATGGCAAACCATAGCCCAACCCAAACTACTGAACCAGACCCACTGATTTTCCCACTACTGGTTGGGGCATAAAATCCCTTTTTCTGAGTCAAAACTATGGAATTCTTACCATTTTTCCTTGTTTTATCAGTTGATTCAAAGTCTGTAGTTGTTCATTTCTGTTTCAAGAAACTCTAATATGCAGAGTCTTGAACTGGGTTGAATTATACTGTAACAGAACAACAGGACTCTATTGCTTTGACTATTTTATTTGCTTATTTGTTTAAAGTCAAACATAAATTTGAAAACTCTGGCTCTTATCATGCTTCTTTGTAATGTGTACCTATAAGCAAATACCAATTATGGAACACAGTGAAATACATTGACATGACTCAGTCCTGTGGTGGCTGGAGTATTAAAAATGACAGGCACAGATATTCAGATTTTAAAAAATTAAACCAATGTTACTTCCATTGTTTGAAAGCTGTCTCCTAGAAGGCCTGTGTGAAGCAGAGGCAGCTTATTTATACAAACGCTGCACACAACTGTTTTCTCTACAATTTCGTAGAAAATCCTGTTCTCTGAGCCACACACTGAACAAAATTTCCAGATGTCCACCTCTAATGCTGAAAGAACAAGGTGTTATGGTTTTTGAAAGTAAAATAAACATCTGAATAAATTGAGCCATCTCAGTTCTGTAATTCGGCCCTTATATTACAAGCTCATGTGAATAAGTTACTTTACACTGTAGAGCTAGTTACAGATGTGAATGACAGTGGTAGGGGGAAAAGATGGTCTCCTGATTTCCTCCCCTGACTTCACACAAGCAGCCAAGCACAGGATGGCGTGACACACAGCCTGAGCCAGTGGCAGGGGGGTGTCTGCTCAATATTCCACTGGAACGATGTTTTCCTGGAATGGTATCGTACGCTGGATGGCATTTTACTCGAAGGAGGAACAACATAGCTCCGTCCTTCTCTCAGCAGCTAAAGTACCCAAGCCCGACCCTTGTTTTTCATAAAGCGGTGATAAAATTTTAAAAATGTAAAAAGCTGACACAGTAAATACTTAGTCCTTGCTCATGTTGCAAATTCACAGAGTATCCTAAGTGCTCGAGCATGTACTTATGAGCTAGCAAGAACAGGTCCCTGGCATGGAGCCCAGGCCACAGACACCTCCCCAGCACCCACTGTCCCCAAAAGTACTTCTCAAGAAGCAAGATTGCCTGCCCACAGGCAGCAGCATCTCTCATATTAGCATGATTTACGTACGGCTCACACCATCCATCATGGCCTTACATCGCACCCGTGTCTCCACTGAAATCATCTTGGGATGGCCTTTGTTTTCCTGCAGATCTGTGGCTGGGCTTTCATCTTCCAGCACCAGTCAAGAAATGCAGCTAGTGACTCTGGCTACCTCAGTTGCCTTTACCATCATTTTCCCTTCCTACCGCACCCTCTTGTCACACACTTGTTTGATACTTGACATCAGTTATTTCGTACCATTCTTGTGTCAGGGAGTAATATCTCCCAACACAAAATATTCCTTATAAAAGAAAGAGGAAGGCAGAGGAAAAAGTGGGCAAATAACAAGCAGCATTATAGAAAATTCTAATCAAACGTGTTAGTAATACTAAACTCCGAGTACTTTATCTACATATTTGTAATGAGGAGATGCAAACAAGAAAGTCAAGTTATGAGGAACCAGATTATTGAGATGGAGAGATCTTGCCAGCATCCCTCCAGAATTCCCAGAGCCTAATTCTGCACTGTGTATCATCCTGCACTCCTAATGTTATTGCTTTGGTGGAAAAACGAAAGAGCACAATGAAGAACACCTTAAAGCATTTAGCCTAAACACATCAGAGAAACAGTGATCAGAACTGATTCCAAGCTAAAATTAAGCTTGAAAAACATATATAAGGATGTGCAGGCTAGAATATTTTTTTCAAATGGAAGATGCCATTAAAGCACAGCATTACTTATACCCCCTTGGATGTTTTATTTTTGCTAAAGTTTAAAATTTGTAAACTAACAAAGAGAATTACTGCATTACAGAAAGTTTTAAGTTGCCAGATACCATGTGAAGCAGTGTATAGGAATACACTCCTCCTAGATTCATTCATACTCATAGTAGGAAACAGGGACTTCTAGCAGGTAAAACTAGCCATGCAATCTAGGTTGCATCACAGAAACCTAGATCATGAGCAAGTATCACCAGACTGGTCAGAAAACCTAAATGTTTCCACTGGGGAAAGGAAAGAACAAAAAAAAAATCCTGTTTAAAAATATCCTTTAAGTGGTTGTTTCCATTTTACTAATTTCAGAAAAAAATATTTATCAATGCTTTATTACATTTTAATATTTAAAATGCTTTTTTTATTTGTAATTCTCTAAAGAAAAAAAAGTAGAGCACCTGGAAAGGTGATGGAACAGCTCACCCTGGAGGTCATCACGAAGCATCTGGAGGACCAGAAGGTGATCAGGAGTAGTCAGCATGGATTCACCAAAGGGAAATCATGCTTGACCAACCTGATGGCCTTCTGTGATGGGATGACTGGCTGGGTAGATGAGGGGAGAGCAGTGGATGTTGTCTG